CATTATATGGAAGTTTTTTTGATCTATCAGAAAGTGGATATCATCCATCATTAATTAAAGCAGACAATAAACTATTGACTATTGATGGAAAACCATTATTAATTGTTGATAATGCTTCAAAATTATCAACAAATACATATCAAGATAAATGTAAGAATTGGCTTACTCATCTTGAGTCAATGTAAATTTTTATTTAAAACATTAAACAAAAAAAAAATACGAATAGAAAAATATCTGTAGTTAATTTTCTTTTCTTTTCAAACTAATGAGCAATATTATAAATAAGTTTGCTCGTAAAAAAAAATTTAATAAATAAATGCTTACAATATAAATTTAAAGTGAATGATATATTCAGACCAGAAAGGTAGTTTTTTTCGCGAATTGGTCAGTTTTAGTGGAAGGCAACAAAAGAATATAAACATATACAAGAAGATCACAAAAATGGATATAATTAGTAAAATTCGACAAAATTCGAGTTTACTGAATCATTGTTGCTTTCCTGACCTACATAATTGGAAATTTTTGCTTTTTTTTCAACGACGGGGACAAAAAAATTTACACTTTATTCTAGTATGGAATGAAGATCTTGTCTAATACTGTTCGCAAAATACTTTGATTTAAAATGTTATGAACTTTAAGAAAATACAAAAAAAAACATCAAAATCAGAATGTCATATAAAACTTTAAAAGCTTTATCTATATGCAATTTTTCATTGTGTCCTATTATTAACAACCTTTTCAACTGGAAAAATTTCCGAGAATAAGGTCATTTTCATCAGTAGTATTTTATCTAGCGGATGGCGGCTGAGTGGGCGATGCCCAGCCAAAAAACGAGACTTTGACAAAGCACTGATAGGGGGCGCCTATCCAACATTTCGATTTTGCCATTTGAAATCAATTTATTTGTGAGATCTGTCAAGGAAAGTTCATTACAAAATAGAAAATTAAAGAACAACAATCAAATAAAACTAATATATTTGTCAAAATCATCATTTCATCTATATTGTTTTGTTTCAATGTTTTGTTTATATGCAAGAAAGAAAGAAAGAAGAAAAAAAAGAATGTGTGACATACTCCAAGAAAAAAAATGTTCATAGGGAAATAAAAATCAGCCACGCCGAACAAAATTCACAGTCATACTATATAAATGAAAAATAAAACAAATAGAATCCGACATTAACGATAATAATTCCATTACAATATCGCATGTATGATTGTTATTTGTTTTCTTTTTCTCTCGTAAAAAGTGAACAATAAGTTTTTAAATAAAAGAAATGTGTGACAATCAAAGCTGAGCAACAAAAACAGACTCCAATTACATAATAATATGAAAAAAAAAGAAATAATAAACTTTTAAATGATTGATTAATAAGCTGAAATAAGAAAAGAAAATATAGGTTTTAAGAACAACATGATGTATTCTGTTTTGACTTGGAATCGAATTCTGTTGAAGGAAGACGAAGTGGAATAGGTGCTGTATTTGATCCACTATTGCCATGTGGTCCACTTGGATCTTGTATTTGACGTTGAGAAACTATATGATATATTTCTAAATGAAATATTTAAAGAAAACAAACTCAAAATAAAATAAATAACTACCTGTAAGGATTGTATGGAAAGCTTGCTCGACATTCGTCGAGTCTAATGCGGATGTTTCAATAAATGAAATACCATTTTTTTCTAAATAAAAAAAACAACAAACAATTGTATTATAAAGAATTCAATTTTTATATTACCAGAAAAAGCTTTAGCTTCATCACTTGGTACTGAACGTAAATGCCGTAAATCCGATTTATTACCGACAAGTGAAATAATAATATTTGCATCAGCATGATCACGTAATTCTTTTAACCATCGTTCAACATTCTCATATGTACCATGTTTGCTTATATCATAAACAAGTAGAGCGCCAACTGCACCACGATAATAACTAAGATTTTAAATATAGAATTATATTCAAAAATTCTATGAGTCAGATACTTACGCACTGGTTATCGCACGATAACGTTCTTGACCAGCTGTATCCCATATTTGTGCTTTGATTGTCTTCTTATCAACTTGAATACTTCTATAAAAAGATAATTTGTAGAGAAAATGAAATATGTTTTTTCTTCTTTTGTTTATTTTACCGTGTAGCAAATTCGACACCAATGGTACTTTTACTTTCTAAATTAAATTCATTTCGGGTGAAACGTGAGAGTAAATTACTCTTTCCAACACCTGAATCACCAATAAGCACCACTAAATAGAATAAAAATATATATAAATTTAGATACTTTTATGTAATAAAAATAATGTACCTTTAAATAGATAATCGTATTCGTCTTCGCGTGCCATTATATTGCTATAGTCTTTTTTTTATTATCTTCAATAAAGGAAATGAAAGCAAGATAAAAATTTTGAGTATTTACTAGAATTTTTCTTTTTTTTCTCACGAATACTTTAACTTCATTTGTGTGCATACACAAACGTATAGACGTGACGCGTCGTATATATAGTTCCGGATTGGCTGACGTTGTACTATCTCATTGTCTGAATCATCGACTTATGTAAAATACTTTAACCATTCAGATGAATACTATACAGATGTCAGGACATATTTGAACGCTTTTCATCAACAGCAATCATTCATCTAGTAACGCTTTTTTCAGCAATTTGGCGAATGTAGATCAACGATATCCAGTTACAATAAATCTATGAGATTATGAAAACCAATACACTATAAAGATTTTGTTTAACTTTTATTATTGGCTTCAAATAATTTTATATATTTTTTTCATTTATCGTAACATAATTACAAACTCAATTCCTTTGACAATTATCGGTGTGTGTCGTGTTTTATATCACCACCTAGTTTTTCTATTAAAAAATATTATATTTATTTGATCATACTCATGTATCATAAGTTTTTCTCTTTTTGAGACAAGCTTCGATATGTTTTTTTCCCATTTGTATTCTTACCTATGTCATTAATACAATATTTTTTATTCTCTATCCTGTTGGGACAATCGCAGTTCCACAAAAAAAAGGAGATGACGTCGATAACAAATTAAGTTTTTCTTTATTCGTTGTTTTTTTTAATCGGGAAAACAATACTCCTACATTCATATATTATTATTTCTCAAAGAGAGTAAGTAAAAATATTCTATATTAAAAGCTATGTTTGTTGAACATCAACAACTTCGTACGCCACCACCATTGGCTTCTATGCATACGATACCGACTATTTTGGAAAATGATGGATATATAGATG